TATGCACTAAAGTAGCAAGGAATTTGCATAAATGTTGCTTTCTTCTATAATTTAAACTGATTTCAGTACCTGGTACTAGAATATATACTCATTTATATCATGACACGTTCCCGTGGGTATAGTCTTCCCTTCCAGATGAGGTACAGACAGAGTCACACGATTTAGTCCTCAGGCAGAAAAGAAAGGTGCTATGGTTGACAAGTGTCTTTGTGGGCAGAGTGTGAACGGGGCGGGGTGGGCTTGGTGGGAAGTTGTCCTGGGTACCGTCAGGGTTATCGTTGAGTGAAACTGGGAAGTAAATAAAGTTCATGTTTGGAAACACCCATCTCTGGCTTTGTTCTTTGCTGGTTACCTCTATCTCTCCTCTCTCCCGACCTTGAAAAAAGCACATGCTCTTCGTGTTCTCAGGAGATGAGTATCCCCACAGTCTCTTTCTCTGAGCCAGCTTGGTGTTCATTCACACCAAAGTGAAAGTGATTAATAACAGCTAATACCTTACTTCTCCTGTGAAGTAACTAAGAATGAAAAATAATACACGAGACCTCAGTGGAGAAAATTTTGATACACTATCAAAGGGTATAAAAGAAGATCTTAAGTAATAGAGAGATGGTAAATACTCTTGGATGGAATGAGTTCATATTATAAAGATGTTAATTCTCCCCAAATTATTCTTTAAATTAAATGATAGCCCAATCAAATTTTCTGCTGCATTTCTCAGGAACTTGACAAATTTATTAAAAAATATAAGTAAAATATATATGAAAGGTTCATGAATAGTTGTCAGCCTTGAAAAAGTAGAGCAAAGAGGGTAGACTTTCCTGTCTAGATATAAAGACACTCCTCAGTAATAAAAATACAGAACTGGCTCAAAAACAAAAATAGAAAAATAAATTAACCAGTGGAACAAAACGGAGAGCTCAGAGAGGGCTATTTATAAACGGGAAATTCACAGAGGATAGAGGACTCACTGTTTAGTGGACTGTGTTGGGAAAACTGGCTCGCTAGGTGAAGAAAAATGAAACCGGATTCTCCACTTTCCATCATATGCAAAAAGACAATGAAGACACGGTTGTGAAAGGCAAGAACATAGAGCAAGTAGAAGAAAAAAGATAGAAGAGTATCTTTGTTATTTACGGGTGGAGAGAGGCTTTTTAAACAGTCTTGAAAAGCGCAAACTGTATAATGAAAAATAATGTCTTAGACGACATCCAAATTAAGTTTTCTGTCTAACAAAGAACAAATAGACAAAGTTAACAGAGCACAAATCGGGAGAAGAACTTGGTATGCCTATGACCAAAAAGAGAGTCATATATAAAATATATACGGTACTCTTAGAAACCACCACCACCACCAACGAGGGCCACTAGAACAACGGGCAACCAACGTAGATGATCAATTCACAACAGGGGAACCCAAGTGGCTACAAATGCATGAAGAGAAATGCAAATTAAAGCAACGAGACATCATTTTAAGCCTCCAAATCTGGCAAAATTAAAGCTGAGTAACACCAAGTGTGGGTGGTGATGCAAGGAAACGAGACCTTTCTCCACTGACAGGAGAGAGCAGATCAATGTTGCCTTTGCAAAGAGTAATCTGGCCTATCTAGTAAAAGTAAATGACCCTGTGCCTGTGACCCAGGGGACCTACTCCTGGGTAACCATTCCAAGGATATTCTCAAAGAATACCATTGAAATGACTGGGATGAGGTTGCTTAGTGCTGCAATGTCCATAGAGTGGGCAATTGGAGGTGGTTTAGGTGCCCATCAAAGGGGGACCAAATAAATAAAATGTGGGTACATTACGGAATGTCATGTTAGCAAGAGGAGCTACCCACCACAACACAGATGGATTGTAAGACCATAGTGCTGAGTGAAAGCTTGAGAAAGAGAATCATTCCTATAAAATAAAAATACCTACACACACTAAACAATACTGCATGTTTTACAAAGATGCATATGTATTCAGAAATGTATATCACCTACACGAGAGCAGTGGCTCTCGGCAGGCATAGAGGTGGTGGTTGTTGTTTGGAGCAGAGGGAAGGGGAATGATGAGGGTGGGATCAGACACACACACACACACACTCACAGAGACACGCATAGATACAGGCACAGACACAAACACACACAGACACACACATACACAGACAGGCACACATACACAGACACATACACACAAGGAATCTTGTATGGAACAATGATCATGTGTATTGTACTGAGGAGTATGATGAATACAAAACTTTTTGCCTGAGATACCTAAAGTCTTACTTCTCCTAGAGAGATGTGTACAGTCATGGGCTGCATAATGACCTTTTGTTCAACGACGGCCCACAGATATGACAGTGGTCCCATAAGATTAGTGCCATATAGCCTGGGTGTATAGTGGGCTGTAGCATCTAGGTTTGTGTAAGTACACTGTAGGATGTTGGCGCAACGAAAAAATTGCCTAACAACTCATTTCTGAGAAAATGTTCGTCATTAAGCGATGCTTGACTGTACTTTAAAAGAATACATTGTGGATTTCCAAGCATTGGCCAACACGTTAGATAGTAGTTTTCTCATTCAGTCAGTGAATATTTATTCATCACCTGTCAGGTGCCAGACACTGCTCTGGTTGCTAGGGATAGTCTAGTGAAAGAGACAGAAAAGCCCACCTTCTGATTGGGGATTCTGGTTGGCCCTCCCTGGCATTAGGCCAGGTAAATTGTTGCATATATCTAAGATCAACCGTGGGTGTAGCCTTTGTGGGGCCTGGGAGCACGACAGTGGGGTTGCCCTTTATCTGGAGTGGCTTCCGGGGAAGACTTGAAAATTCACAACGAAACAACAGAAGAGAAGGCCCATTATGATCTGGAACTATTTAGTACACATATGTCTCCAGCTATTTTTTCACAGGGGCAGTTTTCTGCCATATCCACAATATCTCTTAATAACAAATATTTCTGAGACTCCTGATGTGATTGTTCAGAAAACCACATAAAGCCCCAGAGCAGATTTTCATGTTAGTGGGTTTTGGTGAAGCTCACTAAAACCTAAGATCTTGGTTCCAATAACACTATCTTGTTAGCGGTTGTCCATCAGGGCCATATAATGAATAATAGGCTATCACGGTTATTACAGACTGGTGTGCGATTTTCTAGCGTTCTATTTTTGTTTCACAGCTATTTATTCCCTATTCAGGAACAATAATGAAACTGACAAGTAGCACTGGGTCAAATCCCGATTTTAGAAGTACTATAAAGGCAGTCCCAAAATTACCTCCATGCATGTTCCCAAAGATATTTAGTAAATTATTTAAATTCACAGATCTATTTATCTGTTCATTCAATATGTTTCTGTTGAGTCCTTCCTATGTATGTAGCACAGTTCTAAGTGTTGGAGATACAAAGATGAAAGAGACAGAAACTCTTCCCCTAAAAGCATATAATTCAATGATGTCAAAACTTATTTTCCCATGGGAACGAAAGTATATACGCTTGTCAGTGTCCCAGGCAAACCAACAAAAGCCTATGTAATCCATAGTATAGCTTAACTCTAGTGCTAATATACAGAGTTCTGGACCCAAATGGCAGTATCTTGTGTAATAGGAAATTGGATAAAGAAACATTTCCTCTTTTTGGGGTCATGAACAATCCCAAGCAAACGTTTGGAAAGGATCTAGTTTTTATTTACTCTCTGTCATCTTCCCTTTTGCATCTTTCTCCTGTTCTAATCCTTCACTGTGGCTCCTCGCCTAGGTCTGTGCCATCTCACAAAATGCTTACGATCCCACCATTATTCACTTCTCTTTTTCTAGTTCTTCAACACTCCTGATCCCAACTAGCTCTGAGGAGAAAAAGCTGACCAAACCGATTTGCAGGAATTCCCATTCCTTCCCCATAGATTGGTGCACTTGCTTCCTGCTCCCACCCCTCAGAGAGTTTCCAGTCTAGTTTTTAGGCGTTATTTAGAATTCAGTGCATTTCTAATAATTTAAAGTTAACATGTAACCACTATATTGCCAGATGCTTTTCTTCAGACATCCACATATATAACAAAAGTTGTTAGAAAATTTTTGGAAATCTCATTTTGAGACTTAACTTGTGTGTTGTTTCGAATGAGTGCAGATAAAATTTCAAGATGAACTACTACGACGACTGTGTTCTTAAAATACTTGCATGATAAGAAAAATATCGATCAGGTTGTTCAACACTAAGATTGCCAAACTTAAATTGATATTGATTACAATTTAATGAAAAAATTTTAAGGTATGTTTGCATCTACCCTTATTGTTATAACCACTTGAAAAAAGCCACCAAATGGGAGGAAAACTGTGCTTAGATTAGCCAACATTTATTTTTAAAATGTAAGTCTTCTTCAGGATTCAGCATATTAAAAAATGACATAAAATTATTTTTAAAAATGGAATTACCCCCAAGCTGTCATTACTGTTTCTTTTAAAGCAGAGGATATAGGACACAGGTCCTTTATTTCTGATCACCTCTAATGAGATAAGAATCTAAGAAGCTGGAAGGAAAATGAGACCGTGACCAAAAATGCTTACTCAGTTACTATAGGAGATCAAAAAACATTATACCAAATCTGGAATCTACGAAGACAAAGCAATTGTTTTCTCTGAAAAATATGTAGGGTTTAGAAAGTTTCTGGGATTTGTCTGTAACAATACCTTCCGGGCCCTACTGATGACGCTTTAGGGAACGCTCGCCTATCAAGATGGAAGGATAGGAGGTGGCGTTTGTGGCCTCTCATGGTGGTTAGGTAGTTCTCAGAAGACAGTACTGGAAATTAGATAATTGTTGATGTCATGCTTTTCACAACCAAAAAAATTTGGTGTCGTGGGGGCTATAAAAGTGGCAGCGTCTACCTTCTGATCACAAGCAGAACCGTGAAAACAGGTAAGTGTTTCAGCAAAGTGGGTATGATCGGTCGGTTTGATACTTCTTGATACTTAATTTTTTCCCTTTATGTTGACTTTGCTTCTTCTTCTCTTGATCCCAGGCTCTCCTTCCCTCGTTGCCAATTGCTGGAGTTAGATTTGTCTGCCATGGCCGCCCTGCAGAAATCTGCGAGCTCTCTCCTTACGCAGGCTCTGGCTGCCAGCTCCCTCCTTCTCCTTGCCCTGTGGGTGCAGGGAGGAGCGGCCGTGCCCATCAGCTCTCACTGCAGGCTCGACAAGTCTGACTTCCAGCAGCCGTACATTACCAACCGCACCTTCATGCTGGCCAAGGAGGTACCCATCTCAACCTCTCTCGCTGTCACATCTTAGCTACTTGGAGCCCAAATAGTTCTTAACAGTTTTCTTCAGAGCACATCTAAAATCTTTAAGAACCCCTCATTCATCTCTACAGGTAGACCAGAGATCATTCTCTACGTCTCTTCATAGACTCTTTGGAGATGGGGCTTTACCAAAAGACCTTCCGCCTTGGCCTTCAGGATACATACATTGAGTTTTACCCAAAAAAGAGACATTTAGCAGCTCATCTGACTATTCATTTTTTTCCTTTCCTCCTGTGAGCATTATTTTAAACTCATGCACACATCTGAATTCTTTCTTTAGTCTTCGTGGGGTGGCTCTGCGGAAAGGGGTAGAGTCCATCTCTACTTACAGACTTTTCTTTTCTCTCCTCGGTGTCCAGGCACTTAGTCTTTTCTTCTCTTCCAGGCTAGTTTGGCAGATAACAACACAGACGTTCGTCTCATCGGGGAGAAACTGTTCCGCAGAGTCAATGTAAGCCGCAGCTGTGATGAGCAGGGCAGTGTGCCGTCCGTGGATATGTGGAGCAGTGGGATGGTGGTTTGGGTCTTCTGGATGTCCACTAATATGACTCTGCTACTCCACTTTCACCTGCAGATGAGAGAGCGCTGCTCCCTGATGAAGCAGGTGCTGAACTTCACCCTTGAAGAAGTGCTGCTCCCTCACTCCGATCGCTTCCAGCCCTACATGCAGGAGGTGGTGTCCTTTCTGGCCAGGCTCAGCAACAAGCTAAACCACTGTGTAAGTTCTCCTCCTGGCCCAAGCCTGCCCGCTCCTGGTGGCCTGCCTTCCGTCCTCCTCCCACTTAGAGCCCTTTCCTCCAACGACCCCCCCCCCCCAGCGGGCAGCAACGTCGTTATGGGAGCCATCTGGAATCACAGAGTGTTTGTTTTTGCTTGAATTGAGTCACATTTTGAGTTTATGGTGATGAATGGGGTTGAAAGACAAGGGCAGAGAAGGCTCATTTGTCCCTGGGGAAAAGCATCTCAGGTTATGTGAGACGAGAAAGCTGTTGGGAGCTGTCAGGGAAAACACCTAGATGTGGAAATGGATCCATCGAGTATAAGTGGATGGAGGGAGGGGATGGGAAAGAGATAAAGAGGGAAATGAAGATTTACTGTTCGGTGGTGGGTGGGCAAAGATTGCGCCCTTTTGATGTCGTGCGAAGTGACTAAATCGGAGGCGTGTGAACTGGATGCCTCTGAACATTTAAAACTATGAAAAAGTTTTAAGTGGAGTGGGCAGAGCGAGGAAGATCCTGTATTTATTGATGAGGGCCTGCTATTCACACGAGATGTTTTGTGTACGTTTCTTGTTCTGAGCACGAATTTCTGATGAGGTACAGTTAGGGCTTTATTCTTGACTGAATTTGCATAAACCACTCCACTCTTTCCACAAGCTTAAACCTCAGGAGGATTTCCGAAAGGCGAAGAGAGGTCCCAGGTGAAGGAAATGACTGGATTTTGATGTCCAAGGGAATTCAAGAGCTCAGAAAATCTAGGTCACTGGTGAAATCTAGGTCGTTGTGGGCAAAATTGCTAAGAACTGTAATTGCAGGTGAATTGTAATAATCCTCAGTTAGGGACGGAGGGTCATAAGCTTCAGTGCAACCATGTGAAAACAGCTTCTCCGGTTTTCATTTTGTAGCATGTTGAGAGCAATGACCAGCACATCCAGAGAAATGTGCAACAGCTGAAGGACACAGTGAAAAAGGTACCGCTAGTAACTGTTAATGCTATATCAGTAAATACGAGAGACAAACGTTGTTTTTCTCTTTTTTCCTTATTTTCTTTTTTCCCACTGTGTTGTGATTTTTACTTGAATCTCTCACCATCGGGTTGATTATGTAGGAGCCTATGTGCGTAGATGTGTCTATATGTTTATAAATCAATTTCCAAATTTAATTCTAGAACTGGCTGGGAAGTCAGGTTGTCTGGTCTCATCACCCCATGTTCCAGCGTGGCCGGGGGCCCCACAGGGCTGGAAAGCAGGTCTCCTGAACCCACCCAGGCTAGTGCTTTTTCCAGCAGCCATATACATTAGTGTTTGTATTATTAATTCTTGGGGAAATTTAAGAATCCTACTGAGTCCTGTAATTTGAAGAAGGATTTGTTAAAAAACAGAAAAAATGCCTGGGGCACATGTATTTGAAGTGATTTTTGAAGTCATTAGTTTGACAATTGAAAACTTGGCGAAATAAAACCCAAACAACAATAACAAAAGAATTGGACTTGCAGATAGGATGAATTTCTGGGATGACCAATACTTATATTTAATTATCATAATATAATACCCAACAGCTATTGATTTTAATTTAAAAGCAAGAGTGAACAACCCCTGATTTCTTTTACACAGTTTCAAATACAATGAAAATAATAGTAAGGGATTTGTGATAGTGAAATGAAGTCTGAATTGGAAGTGCTCCTTTCATCCTCTCTCCTTTCCCCTTCCTTTCCGGTCTTCTCCTTCCCTCAGTCAAGCCCCAGTGAGCATCTATCTGGAGTAGGCTAGTGTAGGTGTCTACAGCGGATGATACAGTCATTCGGCCTATTTGGGGGGGAGGCTCAGACTAGCAGTTGTGACTCATCCACAAACCAGAGGAACGATTAGTAGCAGTGAAAGTGATGCTCTTGTGAGCAGGTGCAGTTAACCCTCAGAAGCCCTCCAGCTCTAGCTGGTGGCATTTTCAGTAACGAGCGTAACCTCGGTCCTCCCTTGTTTCCATCTTGATTTTTTTTAAAAAGTATTTCTTCCTGAGCATTAACAAACGTGACTGTTTCTTCCTTTGATAATTGAAGGCTTTGCAGTTTTTCATTGTGAAGGTCAATTCTCTTGCCATAGAACATTACCTACGCATAGAGGTATTGGCGTGAACTTGCAGGGCCTCACCAAGAGGTGCTTTGCACTTCTGGCTCGAAAAGTCCCTGATGTCAGCTTACTTTGTTGTCTTTAAAAAGGCGAAGTGTGGGAGGGAAAAATCTGATGGTGATCTGTGTGGGAAAAGAGAGATTTTAAAGCTTTTATTCCATCTTGAGAGAATTGACTTCCACATTGCAGTGTGTGGCCACGTGGAAGAATGGTTATGCTTTCTTTGGCCTGTAGCTCCAGAAACCACAGGCGAGAGAGGAATGTAATTCAGAGAAAGCTGAACTTGAAGAGCAGCTGGTCAGCACTGTCTGAAATTGGGGGGGGGCAGAGCTGGGCAGTGTCAACTCCCTGTCAGTGGAGGTAGAAGCAGCCAGCAGGCTGTGGTCGAATGGGTGACAGACAGCAGGGTAAGATTAGCTGTAAATTCTTCTAGCCTTGGGAGTCTCTGAGATATAAAAAATATCCCTTGGCGTTATGTTGAAGGAAGCATGGAAAGGTGGCCTGGAATCCTTCAAAGCAGGGTGAGAAAGGAGAAGAGAGAGGACTGTGATGCCTTATGGTTTTTCTCAAAATAACATAGAACAAATTCGATAGATTAGATGAATTTTAGTGGTGGATGCTTTGGACTTGAATTTGGCTTCTCTCTCTCATTGACTTTAAAAGCCTTATTTGCATACTACTTGGAAGGAGAGGGAAAGAAAGGAAGTTAGAATCTGTATCTGGCTTTCTACTCATTAAAGCAGCTGGATAGGACTTATTTGGTATTTTCCCCACAAAAGTGAAAACTTGCTTTTTTTCCCTTTGTCAGGAAGATGGGAACAGAACAAGCCCACGTCTATTGGGAAGTGCATGGTTTTGATTCAAGGCTGTTGGAGCTGAGTTGTTAGAAATAATTCGTTGGTCATAGACCGGGCGAGGCTGAGGCAGGGCAGGGCATAACGGGTGGCTCTGCGTCCCCCGGGTACAGCACAGCTTCAGTCCACTTGCTCTGCTTCGGAAGTGGCTTTAAACAGCTTCATTAAGTGAGGTACTGAGACCAACGCCTGTTGGTGCCCTCTCCGTTCAGATAGCCACAATTTTAAGTTCCTTGGCCCATCGTATTATGCTCTTGCTATAAGGCTATAATTATAATGATTAGTCTTTTACGAAAGGCTAAAACTTGATTTCTGTCTCCAACAACCTAAAGACGCCATCTCCCTCTAATTTGTTGCTCTTTAAAAAAAAATGGCATACATGCTCAAATACTTGTGCGCTCTTACTTCCACAGCTTGGAGAGAGTGGAGAAATCAAAGCAATTGGGGAGCTGGATTTGCTGTTTATGGAGCTGAGAAATGCCTGCATTTGACCAGAGCAAACTGGAAAACGGATACCTAACCCTTCTTGCCTGTTAGAAATTACAATAAGATCCCCAAGGGTTTTCTTTTACCAAAAGGAAGATGGGAAGCTAAACTCCACAGACATGGATGGATTCTAAAGAAACTCCTGCTGAACCTAAAAAGAGAACAGTGTCACAAGGTCGCTTGTGTCCATACACTAGAAGGTAGACCTTCTGAGCATAATGAGATTTATTGATAACATTTTATTGTAGCTGATGTTTTATACACAGAAATTTATTTTTTAAGCAATTTTCTATTCCCACAAGAAAGATTACTTCCCATTCCTTTAGGGAAAAAAAACCTAAATAACTTTATTTCGATAATCAATACTTTATATTTATGAATTTATTTATTGTTATAAGTACACATTTTATTTATGTCATTTTATTAATATGAATTTATTTATAGAAACATATGATATTGCTACTTAAGTATAAGGTTAATTTTAATATTTATGACAATTTTTATGGAGCTATAATCTGTTTATTTAACCTCAATAAACACTTTGATATCTTAAATCTCGTGGATTTGTGATTTTTTTCCCTTTAATATCATCATTGTGGTCATCATCCACATCCTCATCATCACCATTATGTAATCATTCCCACTTGCTAAATGGGCCAAGAACCTCGTATAAATGACTTTGTTCTTGACTCTAAGCAAAGGTGACTATTAGTATTATCCTCATGTTACAGGTGAGAAAACTGAGTCAGAGACATGTTAAAAAACACTAACTATTAGTAGTTGACCCTCATTGAGCCAGGTCTACATGATTTCTGGGCTCTCTGTGATATTGTTTACATAGATATATTATGTTGATTCAGCATGTAATTCCAAAAGAAAAAAGGTAAGAAATTGAAAAGAATCCATCTGCATCCTTAGGTTCGTGGGTAAGAGAAAGGAGTGAGACTGCCAGATGAGAAATCTGTGCAGCCTCTAGTGTTGTAGATGGACTGCTTTATTTCCAGCTCCAGCCTAGCAGCGAGGGTATTCTCCAATTTTCCTGTAACTCAGGAAATGAAGGGGAAGCTGACTGAGTCTGGGGGGTCTTAGCTGCTAGTGAGTTTAGTACTGATAGAGAAGTCTTGTGGGTGGAAGATGGGCAAGACACTATGAAGCACACTGAGAGGCAGCGACAGCTGTACGTCTTCAGGATTTGTCCAGTGGTACAGAGAAGAGAGAGGAGAGGTAGAGATAAAGTCGGACTAGTCCTGTCTAGAAGAATGAACAAGTGACACCACACTGAAGAATGTGTAGGACTTTCATAGAAGGTGAAAGCCAGCGGTCAGGAGAGGTCAGTGGTCAGCTGTTAAAGTGTTTCCTTCTCCAAAAAATCAGGATCCCTGGGTTTAGTTTACAGCTCACTCCCCAGTCGTTTGCCAAGTGCCTGCAGGATTAGTCCAGCCTGGTGGCGATTGCTGAGCACATGTGGAAACTGCAGGTCCACGTGTGGACAGAGTGGAGTTAATACTTTTGGGTATGGGCTCCAAATGCTCAGAGGTACCAAAGCTAAGCTTCAGGGAGGATAGAGTTATAATTCTTTCTGGGATAAGCTGGGGTTTAGGACTCTTTCCTCTCTTCTTCCAAATGAGTCTCAGTGTAATGACTTGAGCAAAATTTGGAATTGTATTTGTTTTTGACCAATTGAAATTGAGCCATAATTGGAAGAATATCCTTAAAATTAGATTCACAGATGCTTCCATCCTAGGGCAAGGAGTCTGAAATAAAGAGACTTAAAAATTCTGAATGCCAGTGAACATACAGCGTTAAGGTGCCAGGATCTTCTTCAGTTCTAGAGGGCAGTGCTGACAAATTGGGCAGCCACGGGAGATGGTCCAGGTCCCTCGCAGGGAGTCCTGGCATCGTGATCAGCACCTACTGCACCAATTATTTTTGGCGTCGGTGGTGGCGGCTAGCATTTGGCTGGCACAGCCCTCGCTGCTCTTGTTTCTGGCGTTGGCGGAGGCCTTGAGTGTCTCCTCCTCTAGTAGCAGATGGCAACACCCACGTGTTCAAGAAGAGTAGTCTGTGAGCTTGTGTGAGACACAAGCCCCCGAGACACTCAACAGCGTTTAGAACTGATGAGAAGCCACTGGAGGGTTTCGAGTGTGGGAAAGACTTGCTGTGACTCAGGTTCTATCAAGATCACTCTGGCTGCTGGGTGGAGAGTAGATCGGAGAGGTAAGCGTAGAAGCAGGCCAAGGTGACAGTCTAGGGACAGCTGATGGCTGCACTGGAATGGATGAGAGCAGAGCCACAGAAAACTGCTGTGACTCTCACTGGCGCACGCAGCTTGGGTTGCCTGGGAAATAAGAGCTGCGCGTGGGTCATATTCACTAACAGGAAAAGTGATCCTTAGTTTTTCTTCTGGCCCTTCTTTAGGCTATATTACTCATTAGTGTGCAGTGCTTCATATGGGAATAGAAATACAGACAGACAAGTGATTTTGTTCTGAAAGGAGGTTAAGATCTTAAGATGTGAACGAAGACACTTAGTCAGATGAGGAGAATGAGCGATACCAAGGCTTGACAGCTGAGGTCCTACTGTCTCTGAGGCAACCACAGCTATAGTGACTTTACCCTTAAACTCTACTTTCCGGGAATATTTATTGCTGAAATAACAGGTGGAGAAGGCTGAGAGGACTGATCCTGGTCACCAAGAGGAAGCCGTGTTACCGCTACATCAGGAGGGCTAGTGGACTGTGGCTGCTCCCAGGGCGTTCACCGGACTGTCTCATCAGCAGACAACTGCATCAACCCAAAAGAGACAGATCATCAAGAAGTCCACTTCTAGAGGAATGAGAGTTTAAGTCACCTTACCAGGTGGAGGAGCCCATCCAATGGAGATGCAGGCAGAGGCAAATGGACTGGATGGTGGAAGAAGCAGTTCACGATGACGAGTTTAGGTCCTGTGAACAGCTCTAGAAGCAGAAACTATAGCAGATATGGTTTCTGCTAATAAATTATTTGTTCCCTTTCCTCCTCCTCCCCCCCCCCCACTTTTATGAAGAGTACTTGGGGAGGCTAGTATTTTAGTTTTCAGGCGGGAAGATGGCCACAGTGACATCATCCTATAAGGATACGGGAGTTGATGACATTCTGAGCATTTCCTGTGTTCGAGACATACGTTTTTTGTGTTTTTGTCTCTTTTCCTAATATTTTAATTTTATTATTTTATTGAGGTCATATTGGTTTATAACATTGTGTAATTTCAGGTGTACATTATTATATATCAGTTTCTGTATAGACTGCATTGTGCTCACCCCCAATAGTCTAGTTTTTATCCATCACCATATATATACACTCCTTTACCCCTTTTGCCCTCCCCCCGACCCCCTTCCCCTCTGGTAACTACTAATCTGTTCTCCTCATCCACGTGTTTGTTTATCTTCTGCATATGAGTGAAATCATATGATGTTTGTCTTTGTCTGGTTTATTTCACTTAAGACAATACTCTCAAAGTCCATCCATGTTGTTGCAAATGGGACGATTGTGTCTTTTTTTCATGGCTGAGTATACATACATTCCATATACAATGGAACACTGTGTGTATATCCCACCTCTTCTTTGTCCATTCATCAGCTGATGGGCGCTTGGGTTGCTTCTACGTCTTGGCTATTGTGGATAACGCTGCAATGAACGTGGGGGGCATAAATCTCTTTGAATTGTTGATTTCATGTTCTTTGGATAAATACCCAGTAGTGGGACAGCTGAGTCATATGGTACTTCTATTTTTTATTTTTTGAGACATCTCCATCCTGTTTCCACAGAGGCTTCACCAGTTTGCATTCCCAGCAGCAGTATATGAGGGTTCCCTTTTCTCCACATCCTCTCCAACATTTGTTATTTTTTTAATTATAGCCATTCCGACAGGTGTAAGGTGATATCTCGTTGTAGTTTTGATTTGCATTTCTCTAATAATTAGTGATGTTGAACATTTTTTCAAGTACTTGTTGGCCATCTGTATATCTTCTTCGGAAAAATGTCTGTTCATATCCTCTGCCCACTTTTTGATCAGGTTTTTCTTTTTTGTTGTTGGGTTGTATGAGTTCTTTATATATTTTGGAAATTAACCCCTTGTTGGATGTATGATTTGCAAATATTTTCTCCCAGCTGGTGGGTTGTCTTTTCCTTTTGTTCATGGTTTCCTTTGCCTTGCAGAAGCTTTTTAGTTTGGTGTAGTCTCATTTGTTTATTTTTTCTTTTGTTTCCCTTGCCTGAGTAGACACTGTATTGGAAAAGATACTGCTAAGACCGATGTCAAAGGGGGGACCGCCTATATTCTCTTCCAGGATTTTTATGGTTTCAGGTCTTACATTCAAGTCCTTAATCCATTTTGAGTTAATTTTTGTGTATGGTGTAAGATAATGGTCTACTTTCATTCTTTTGCCTCTGGCTGTCCAGTGTTCCTAACACAGTTTGTTGAAGAGACTTTCCTTTCTCCATTGTATGTTGGCTCCTTTGTCAAAGAGTAGCCTGTCCATGGATGTGTGGTTTTATTGCTGGGCTTTCAATTCTGTTCCATTGATCTGTGTGTCTGTTTTTCTGCTGTTACCATGCTGTTTTGATTTCTATAGCTTTGTAGTATGTTTTGAAGTCAGAGATTGTGTTGCCTCCAGCTTTGTCCTTTTTCTCAAGATTGCTTTGGCTATTTGGGGTCTTTTGTTGTTTCATATAAATTTTAGGATTCTTTGTTCTATTTCTGTGAAGAATGTCTTTGGGATTCTGATAGGGATTGCATTGAATCTGTAGATTGCTATAGGTAACATGGACATTTTAACTATGTTTATTCTTCCAATCCATGAGCATGGAATATCTTTCCATTTCTTTTTGTCTTCTTCAATTTCTTTCAATAGTGTCTTATAGTTTTCAGTGTATAAGTCTTTCACCTCCTCTGTTAAATTTATTCCTAGGTATTTTATTCTTTTTGTTGTGATTGTAAATGGGATTGTATTCTTGAATTCTCTTTCTGCTAGTTCGTTATTAACGTACAGAAATGCAACTGATTTTTGTAAGATGATTTTTTACCCTGCAAGTTTACTGTAGTTGTTGATTATTTCTAATAGTTTTCTGGTGGATTCTTAGGGTTTTATACATATAGAATCATGTCATCTGCAAACAGTGAGACTTTTACTTCTTCTTTTCCAATTTGGATACCTTTTATTTCTTTTTC